CTCTAATATGTCAGGCTGGTGTTTGGTTCAGGTGGTTTGCCTTTAGTTTCAATTTACGCTGGGGACAGGAGGCTACTGTATTTTCACACACCCTTAGAGATGGTGGCCATTCTCCACTCTGACACTCATAGAATAAATTGGCCTTTCCTCAATGCCCTCACTTGATACGGAGCCATTCTCCCAGGTGGTCCCACTCTTGGTGGAATGATGAAAAACACGTTTTTGACGTCTAAGCCTGTAAGGCCTAAGCCTGGTGGCTTGCTGCCTGTAAGGAGGTCACAGCCTCCACGATATTTGGCACAGCAGTAGTTAGAGGTACCGTGTTGCTACTTATGATATAGTGAGATGCCATCTACCATCCGGCTTGCCAACTGGCCACACTGGTGAATTATAAGGAGAATGTGTTCAGCTAATAATATGTTGTTACTCAAGATCGGCCACAACCTCAGAGATTCCAGTCCTTGCCACAGCAGGCAAAGGGTACTGGGCAACCAACATGACTTCAGACTCAGGCAGTGGTGGTACAGTCTGTAAAATGTTGACTTGAGCTTGCGCTCAGTCTCGGCTTCCAAATCCCCAGACTGTTCCATTAGGCAGTAACCACATCCGCCCCTTCAGAACATCAAAACCTAGAAAGTTCTCTCCTTTAGGGCTTAAAGACAGCTCTACTCCAGTCATTCATTTTTCTTCCAACATCTACAGGTGTGTAATGGCTATCAGACAAATCATTGATTGGCTGGTTACACCAGTTGCATTAATAATTTTCCTTGAGGGCCTAGTACCTAAAGCATCAGCATTCTGCTGGTTGATAACACTTATTTGTGCTCCGGTATCAATTAAAAATTCTAAACTTAGTCACTTTGGTCCCACTGGGATGTGGATATAAGGTTCGTTGATTGATGTCCACTGATGGGCATCTATCACATGGATTGGGTTGCCCTCTTTGTGGCTTTTAGTTTTTTCATTTCAATATCTTCTCACGGAGGGACATGAAGGGATTCTGAGTTGTGTTTAGGGCGACCAGTTGGGACCCTGAAGTTATTCTGAGTTTTTCTGCTAACGCTACTATTTGGTGCAAGTGTTCAGTAGTCTGTCCATGCATGGCTGGGGGAAGCCCAAGCTCAAGGGCTCTTTGCCACAACCTATTTTGATCTCGGTCAAAGCCAGTGGTTCACTTGTTCTGCTGGGGCAGGGGCTCCCTATGGGGTTTATTATCTTTGTTTGCTCTCAGAGTAGCCTTTCTAACTCGTCTCCCCTCTCCAGGTTCATCAGATATACCCATCCATCCCATATCTCAGCCATACGTCACTATCAAATGTAGTAGTTCTGCCATGTCATTACATGAATGGGGGGGTAGTTCAATTCTGCTGATTGTGATCAATAGTTCTCAGAATCCTCTCATAAACTCGGTAGGTATATTTTTAAAGTATCCGCCAACCCTTTTATTAAAGGTCTAAGGTGTCCCAGATCTGTAGGGGCAGCCATAGGTAGCCCATTCTGTCCTTGTTCAGGCATGGCTTGAATACAAGCTGCTTTTTGCACTCCCTTGGCTAGATCTCATAATCCCTTCACGTGTATCATCACTGACTCTTTGTGCTTGAATCTATTCCCTCTGCCCAGTAAGGCATTCAGGCAGTAACAGATTGGTCACCTCCTGGCCCCTCCATAAGGAAAGCTCCAGGTCCCCAAAATCCTGAAGCTTTCTCATCACTCAGCAAAATTCTCTCTCCTCCTGAGAGGAAGACCCACCACAGATACTCCATCTCAGCCTTCCTAGGTTTTCAGGCGAATTTATACTGCAAATCAACTAGTTCAGGTCCCAACCAGGGTTTTGTACACACTATAGTGTGAGGGTTGCCTCCTTGAGGGCCTGTGGACCTTTCAGTTTTTAGGAGCAGTTGCACCCTTGTGTCTTCTACAGTTTCCTCCACTTCTTCACTTCATCTGAATCTCCCCATCTATCTCCATCCCAATCAGAGTCAGCAATCAGTTTACACATGTGGAGAATACTGGGGGGCTTTTTCACTTGTGCTAGCATAACTTCACTTCTTTTCCCCGATAACCTTGTACCTCACCACTCCTGTTCTAATTCCCTTTTCAGACACTCGATCTCTAGAGACTTTATAAGATTGTCCTTTTCCAGCTGGCTTGTGTGATCATGATATTCTTGTGCAGAGATCAAACAGGCACCTAAGATGGCTCACATGGGCCCCTTATTCTTTCCGTTCTTAGTTTTCCCTACCATTCCTCTATCTTCTGCACAGTCATATCAGGGTCTGCACCCATTTCATACCTGGGGAAGAAGGTGTGCACCCTTGCCTCCATAGTAGCTCCTCAAATTGCTGACTACACCAAGTCTGTCACAGAACAAAACCAGCAACCACCAGAGATGAAACCAGACTAATTACAATTTATTGCAAGAAACAAATATCCATACAGTTCTCAAACAAGTTGATGTGGTTTAGCCCCAGCTGAGCACCATGGCGCTGCTCACTCACCCCTCCCCCGGCGGGATGGGGAGGAGAATGGAAGAACAAAGGCAAAGCCTCAAGGGTTGGGATAAGGGCAGTTTACTGGGACTGCAAGGGAGAGGGAAACAATCAACAACAGTGCTGATAACAGTGTTTCTAGAATACTGTTTATCCTTCAAGAACAGTTGTGTGTGAGTGGGACAGTGAGCTCTGTTAGAATTTTTTGTTCACTCTGAGGCATACATTCTTTTTAAGTAAAAATACCTTTCAGCTTTTTTATCCATTATACCTTGCCTTTCTTATTTTATAATTTTGGACTATTTAATGAAAGCATATATTGAAACAAACCTATCCGAGAGTTCTGCAGTTCATTGCTCTGTGTACTTGTGAATTGTCACTAATAACTTTGCCGGCAGAGTCCCTACGTCACTCTTGTTCTGCTTTATTATCAGCAGACCTTTTGCCGAGGTTGCAGTCATACCAATAACCAGTGTCTTAGATAATTCTATCCTAATCCATAGGTTCCTTTTCAAGAATCCATACATTACATGCGAGTATTTTTCTAACATCTTGAACAACAATTACCTTCTACAATATTATGGATTAGCTTTTGCTTTCGGCACAAAGTTAATGTGAGTATATGCTGCTTTCTGAGATGATTATTCCTCTGTGACTGCCCTGCTTATTGAAATCTAAGGAGCTTTGTGTTATTTTTTGAAGGTCTGTAACTACCAATAATGCAATGGTACGTGCCACTAAATGATTTCTTTCTCATCTAGATATGTTCCTCTGCCCCTGACTATTTTTCTCCATGTTTCACATATGCTAGCAGATATCTCAGTTACCTTATGGTGTCTACTATGGTACCAGCATCAGTGTTTAGGCACTCAAACCCTACCTTTTTTTTTCTGCTTGTCCTCAGCAAACAGAACCAACTGATTTTTGCTCTTTTGGAAATGAGATAAAAAGATCACTTTGGCCTCTACAGCTTTATGGCCTCTACAGCTCCATGGTTTACCTGGATGTTCCAGCATGCTGTGGCTCCCATGAAACTCATGCACCAGCCTTCCATTCCTTTTCCATCCAGAAAGACTGACTATGCTTCCTAACACCCTTTTCTTAAGGCAAGGGTGTTATAAAGAGAAGAGAAAGCTGTGTATCTTCCGTACAGTAAGCTATGAATTGTCTTAGATATGTGATATTTTTTAGAGATTTTTTCCTGAAATTTATTTTCACCTAGAAAGTCTGTAATTAACTTACATCAATTTTATTTCTATTATTTCTTTTTTTCTATCTCTTGTTCACCTTGTCCCCTCCATGCTATAGTTTTTTATTTGCATTGTAGTGACTCCTACAGGATACACACAGGATCTGAAGCTTCATTTATCAGACAGACAGAGATCCTTGCTCTCCTACTTTAAATCAAGAAATAGAAAAAACAGAATCAGAAGGCACAGACTTTATTCCTAGTTCAAAATTTGCAATTTTTTTACTTGCTTATCTATGACAAACATCATAAGAGGTATGATATATTAAAAATGTATACTTTTTTAGCAGACTGTTCAACCTGACCACCTTCATTTGGCAGTTACTGTTAGATATCTTTTGCTTCAATAATAATACTTTCTGTAAGCTTTGAATTTTCTTAAGGCTTTCTTAAATAGAAAGCAAGACTTTTTAAAGAGAGCAGAATTTGTATTTCCTTTGATTTAACAGTCTGTTATCTTTCCTCACAATAATATGTTCTAATGTGATTCAAGATGACTGATACTCATAATTCTACAGAGGATTTTGGTTTCCAGAGCTACATAATGTTTCTGTAGAAACATTGTGCTTTTATTTCAGTCCTTTGTGATACTAGGTTTTCTGTAACACAAAATTGCTATTTTATTTCCTGAGAATGAGGCATTCAGCATGTTTTGCTATGTCTTAATTCATGAACTCAGTTACTTTTGGAGAAATTAGTTGATGTTTTATTGCTGTTTTGTCATAGAATCACAGAATCATTTAGGTTGCAAGGGGCCTCTTTAGATCATCAAGTCCAATCCCCCTGCTCAAGCAGGGTGAGCAAGAGCAGATGGAATTTCATGTTTTTTAATTTGTGCCCATTACCTCTTGTCCTCTCAGTGGGCACTACTGCGAAGAGTCTGGCTGCCTCTTTTCGTTCCCTCCCACCAGATACACACATTGATGAGATCTCCCTGAGCCATCTGTTTTCCAGGCTGAACAGTCCCATCTTTCTCAGCTTCTTCTGGTACAAAACAAGTTCCAGTCCCTTAATTGTCTTTGTGGCCCTGCTCTGGACTCACTCCAGTAAGTTCATATCTGTCTTGTACTGGGGAACACTGGGCTCCGTACTCTAGATGTGGCCTCACCAGTGCTGAGTAGACCCTGAACCTGCTGGCAGCACTCTTCCTAATGCAGCCCAGGAAGCTGCTGACCTCTTTTGCCATGACAGCACAGTTCCTGGCTCATGGTCAGCATTATTGTCCACCAGGACTCCCAGGTCCTTGTCTGCCAAGCTGCTTTTCAGTCAGTCAGTCCCCAGCATGTACTGGTGACTGATGTTCTTCCTCCCCAGGGGCAGGACTTTGCATTTCCCTCTTTTGAACTAATGAGGTTACTCTCATCCAGTCTCATGAACCTGTCCTGATTGATCTCAATGACAACACACCACTCTGGTCTATCAGCCACTCCCAGTTTTGTATTATTTGTGAACTTGTTGAAGGTGCACTTTGTGCCATCATCCAGGTCATTACTGAAGATCCTAAAAAGTGTAGGCTCTGGTATCGACTTCTGGAGCACACCACTAATGACTTGCTTCAAACTGGACTTTTTGCAGCTGATCACAACTCTCTGGACCTGGCTGTTCAGCCAGTTTTCAATCCACCTTGCTGTCCACTTATCTAACCTGTACTTCGTCAGCTTGTCAATGAGGATGTTATGGGAGGCAGTCAGTGTCAGAAGCCTTACTAAACTTGAGCTAAGCAAATCCACTCCTGTCATCTCATCCACCGAGCTAGTCATCTCGTTGTTGATAACTATCAGGTTGGCTAAACATGATTTCCCCTTTGTAAATCCATGCTGACTATTCCCAGTCACTTTCTTGTCCTTCATGTGTTTGGAAGTGTTTTCCAGGATTATTTGCTCCATCACCTTCCCAGGGTATGAGGGGACCTTGACTGGCCTGTAGTTCCCTGGATCTTTCTCCTTGCCCTTCTTGAAGATAGGAGTGACATTTGCTCTCTTACAGTCTTCAGGAACCTCTCCCAGCTGCCATAACCTTTCAGACATAATCAAGAGTGGCCTTGCAGTGACATCAGCCAGCTCCCTCAGCACTTGTGGGTGCATCAGGCCCCACAGACTTCTCTATGTCCAGTTTGTTTAAGTGCTCCCTCACCTGGTTGTCCTCTTCTGAAGGTCTGAGACTTTCCCTCTGTTCTCAGAGGCCTGGGATTCCTGAAGGGCAGGCTTACTAGTAAAGACTGAGGCAAAGGTGGCATTGAGATCCTTGTTCTTTCCCATGTCATTTGTCAACACTTCCCCTGGCCTATTCAGCTGCAGGTCCATGTTTTCCCTCATTTTCGTTTTGCTGCTAACGTACTTGTAGAAACCTTTCTTGTTGCCCTTCACATCCCTCACCAGATTCAGCTCCAGGTTGGCCTTGGCTTTCCTAATCCACCCCTGCTTCCACTTCTTGTACACTTCTCTTTACGTCTGAGTTCAGTTAGGAGCTTCTTCTTGACCTGTGCAGGCCTCCTGCCACCTTTGCTTGATTTCCAACTTGTTGGGATGGATCTTTCTTGAGCTTGGAGGTGGTAATCCTTGAATATCAACCAGCTCTGCTGTACCCATTTTCCCTCCAGGGCCATACCCCATGGGATACAGCCCATTGTCACATTGTTGTGTTTGACGTCTGCCACATTTTTACTACATTTTGAAGCTTTTGGTTATAGTTTATTGTCTCCTATTTCTAATGAACAAATTCTGTGTACAAACAGACTGATATAATGATTACAGGATTTTAGAAGTATTTTAAAATTATCACAGTTTATTTAATGTTGCTATTATTTTCCTGCCTTCATTACCAGAAGTATTAACATGAAACTTCTCTAACACTGCTCCTTTATATTGCACTGACAGTCTTCTGACTTTACATATCACATTGAAGGGTCCAACGGGAGAATGCAATAGGAAACACAAGATGCAGAGTTGTATTTGAGCTGGAACCTGGCTTTACCAGAGTGTGTGTCTGTTTTATGTCTGATTCCTATGTCTTTCAGGAATCAGAGAGCCAAATGTTGGACTTTGACAGTGACAGTCTGAGGTATTTCTTGCACCACAACCTTGCGGTTAGGAAATTTTAGAAAAAAAAAAATAATTGCAAAATTGATCTTACTCTTCCAAAGACTAGAGGATCTCTGCTGGGGTGTACTTTCTAACACTTTTATTGGAGCTTGATCAAGCTACTGTGTGTAGAAGAATTCAAGATTAATGAGACCAGAGGAAAAAAAAATAAAGAGAGCTGGATTCTGCAGACTGGTGAGAAGAGGACATGCTCTGATGAGAGGAAAAGAGTCTTGCATCCTGATCCTTGTTGCCTGTCTTCATATATTTTATATGACTTAAAAGACTAAATGACTTTCAAAAAACTTCTTATCATTGGATTACAGAGCCTGGAATAGAAGTATAGCCATAGAAAGAAGAGAAAGTCTAATGGTACAGTGCAATCTAAATAGGTGGGTTAGACAAAGACTTGAAAGAAAATCACAGCTAATTAGTATCATGGTTACCTGCTGCCTGCTGGTTTTAGCTCCTGTTTCATCTACTTTTGTATAAACTTTTTTTTTTCCTAAAAAGGCTGTCCAGATTTCTTCATGTTACTTGGGGAAGGTGTATACCTTATACACTTATGTGTATATGTATACTATGTATATAGTTATACCTATATATGACAGAATCACAGAATGGTAGGGGTTGGAAGGGACCTCTGGAGATCATCTAGTCCAACCCCCCTGCTAAAGCAGGATCACCCAGAGCAGGTTACACAGGATCACATCCAGGCTGGTTTTGAATATCTCCAGAGAAGGAGACTCCACAACCTCTCTGGGCAGCCTGTTCCAGTGCTCTGTCACCCTCAAAGTGAAGAAGTTTTTCCTCATGTTGAGATGGAACTTCCTGTGTTCCAGTTTGCGCCTGTTGCCCCTTGTGCTGTCTCTGGGCACCACTGAGAAGAGTCTGGCCCCACCCTCTTGACATCTGTCCTTCAGATATTTACAAGTATTGATGAGATCCCCTCTCAGTCTTCTCTGCAAGCGTTGATGAGATCCTCTCTGTCTTCTCCAGGCTAAGCAGACTCAGGTCTCTCAGCCTTTCCTCACACGAGAGATGCTCCAGTCTCCTCATCATCCTTGTAGCCCTCCGCTGGACTCGCTCCAGTAGTTCCCTGTCTTTCTTGAACTGGGGAGCACAGAACTGGAAACAGAACTCCAGATGTGGCCTCACCAGCGCAGAGTAGAGGGGGAGGAGAACCTCTCTGGACCTGCTGGCCATACTCTTCTTAATGCACCCCAGGATACCATTGGCCTTCTTGGCCATGAGGGCATTTGTGTATATATGTATATAAATTTACATATACTATGTATATAATTATACTATGTATACGCATTAAAAATTACTAAAAATGATAAATAAATGTGTTTGAATGTGTGGGGAATATTTCTTTGTTACAAGTCATTAGTGTCTCTGGTCTGTATTGCCACCCAGCTGTGATCAGAGAAACTAAGACGTGACAGGGTTTGAATATTTTACTTTCAGTTCTGTTCAAGAAACAGATTACAGGATATCCTTTATTTGCAGGAGGAGAGAGTATGAACAGACTAGAACACGAAGGATGAAAACAGGGCATTTTTAGCATTAGTAGTCACAGTCTGAACTTCTAAAGAAAGAGAATTCCCTCAAAGGACCCAGGGGCTGTGGGGATCCTTATCCTGTATGATATTGCACTTGAACATGACAGCTATCTTTTGCGGCCTATGATAGTTCCTCTTTTCTCCCCTTTCCTTTGAAACATCGAAGCTCTAGCCCATAACTTTAGTATGCATTTACACTTTAGTTTCACCAAGTCCTAAAAGCATCAAAATATCCAAGTTCTTTGTTCATCGTGCATTATAGTGGACCAAACTGTATCAGTAGATCTCATTCTGTGTTCAGCACTGAAGTAGGACTGGGAGGAAAAAATGAACATATATATGAGATGAAATGCATACTAATTAGTATACAGATAAGAATATTGTAAAACTTGCATCCAATTTCCAGGTTTATGAATATACAGGCTTAAAGGGTATAGAGAAAAAAAAATCATTACCCATATTTGATGAGTAGATAAAGCAAGGAAGACAAAGACAATTGTGCACCCATGTTTTACTTAACATTTTTTCTTTCCATTTTTTAGTTTTGTTGAAGCTACAAAGAAAAAATAGGAATTTGCTGTAGATTTTGCCATAGCTGCAGAGTAAAAATTGTCTTGCCACACAGATGTGTAAGATGTAGTACCGATACAAAGGTAGACAAATTACGGAAGTGTATTTGCTACCTTGCTAGCTGCATTATTTTGTCATGTGTTGAACCAACTATCTTCTATTATGATGAACTTAAAAAATAATTATGTCCTTGTGACATCAAATTCCATGAATACAAACTCCAGTGTTAGTGGCTCATTTTTGCATAGCTTCTTCCAGATCACCTGCACTCTTCAATCAAGTGCTTTTTCCTACTTGTTCTTTCAGGTTCTCCTCAGAGTTTATGCACATCTCATGTTAATTTTGCTCCAAATTAACTGTATATTCACTCTGAGATTCGTAGCTCTTGTGCTGTGATATGCCAGGATCTCCAGCACAGCAAAAATGAGTCACAGTGGTTCAGAATGTGTCCAATGCAATACAAAGAGTAATTCATCAAGGACTTGCGAAGTTTCAAAGTGGATGCAAATGGTAATAATAAGCTGAGTTTTTCCAGAGGAACATTGACTGTTTTTATTTACATTTGTAACAATTTCACCTGAAAAATCGCTTAAATGTTGTGGGAAATCTGTGCAGATGATAGATTTCTAGATCGCATAATTTTGAGTCTTCCTTGAGTTTAATTTCTTAACAGCAGAATATATGTTTATAATTAACAAAGGATTGAAACTAATCTTTCTGTTTCTGTTGATCTGCTTTTCAATGTGAACATTAGAGCATTGCATCCTCTGCAGGCTGAACACATCTGTGTCAAGGACTACTCTGGAAGTACAGTGAAAGTCAGAAAAGAGACAAAATGGTTACAGTTGTGTGATTTCAGAAGTACAACATATAGGAACCATGCTGAGTGTTTCACAGCACTTTCTGGACACATAACGTTGATAAAGTTCTTTCACTCGTATTTCTGCAATCGCTGCACAGCAAGAGGCATTCCATTCCTTTACCAGCACTGATAAATGAGTTGACTTATTAGGACTGAAGACGTCAGAAACAGAAAGAACTTAGCATGATTATCAAATCAATCTGCAGCAAGTTTTAGGACAAATAACAGTGTGGTGTTTCAAATATGCCAAAGTAAACAGCTTGCATTAGAGGCACCAAGGAGACAATAAAAGGCGCATCCATGCAGTGCCATTTGAGGTCTCTTTTCAGAATATTAGTTTTCAGAATATTACTGCCCTTCAAACATTATGACCATACTCACAATTCAGAGATGAATTGTGAATGCACCAGAGGGCAGATGATATTGGATATGAAAAGAAATGTGAATTCCTGAAAATAAGTACAGCCAGTGAAGTTCTGTTTCAACAGGAACTTTCAGGGATTCAACGGTCTGTTCACGCCCTTAAGGAGATCACAGTATCCAAATACCAAGCTGGTTATGAAGAACAGGGAGTGCATGGGCATCTGGTAATTAAAATCACAGTATAGGGTAGAAGGAGTCTACAAATGTGTTGAAGGCTGTGCGCATGCTTTGCTATAAGCCCTCCTGCCTGCCGAAGAGAAAGAGGATTCACAGTCTCCCTTTGCTGCAGGATGCATTGCCTTTTCCAGACTGGACTGTTCATATATTGGAGAAGACAGCATCTTGTTTGTAATTACATATACTGAGTAGCTCACCTACCTGTTACCAGAATTACATTCATTGTCTCTCTTTTCCCCTCTGTAATACATTTGGCATAAAGTATTTCCTATGATTAGTTTGCATTTCCTTCCATTTATTTGTTGTATCCATTGTTTCCCTTTTTTTTTTTTTCCTTGAGAACAGGTTCAATAATTTGCTGTGTGTTGCTGGAGTGCCTAAGAAGGTGAAGCTGAGGCACTGCAGTGTTCCTGCAGTACAACAAAAGAGTAATAATAGTGCTGGTAGTAATAGAAGGACTGGTTTGTTTAATAAATTTAGAAGGGAACTGGTATAGCTGACTTAGAGTGGAGTGAATGCTGCCTGACGTTTTCCAGGGAGACATTAATCATATTGACTTCCTAGAAAAAGTAAGCAAAATAAGAGGAAAAAAAGAACTACAGACTAGTTACTGCCCTTGAGGCAGGGAGAATATATAGGTCCTCCTGTGGAAAGGTACAGGAGACCAGAGTGCAGAGAGATGTTAAATGGCTATTAGATATTAGATGCTGTCACAACAATGAACTGTTCCTGGCACCTCAATATCAAAAAGAGGTTGTGAAGATT